AAAAAATGTCAGTCTCTAGTCCTTAGCGACACCTTCATGGTAACACGCTACTATTGCTCAAAGAAACCGCTTCAGCAAAACCTCACCTTGTGCCCCTGCTGGCAGCATGGTGGTGGTGCCCCACGCTGTATTGTTTGGTCAGGGTCACTGGGGGGAGGTTCTGTTAGATAGTAGGAAGAGAAGCTTATTTATCAGCTTCACACATGTTTTATTGGGTCACTGTGGGTCTTATTCATCCTGACTGATGGAGACACAGCAGTGCTGACATGAACTATGATGAAAGTTGTATGTTTTTACCTGAAGATCCATGACAGAAATATTTTCCTTTATTCACAGGTCCAAAGATCAGGGGCCGACCTGAGCAGGTGAGAGCTGGTTCTGTTTAGATCCGTTCTATTCTGATACAATTTCATTACATTAACGTAAATGTAGCTGCTGTAAGTCTGACCTACTCTGAATGTCTGCTCCTCGTGTTAATGTCTGTCAAATTTATCAGGAAAGAAAATATTGAATTTGACTGAAGTTTACTTTAAGTAGCTGAAAAATAACTGAAATATTTAATCCAGTGGTTTCCAAACTTTCTCTACTTTTAGTAAATACTGTGTTATGAAAGATGAAATAATCAAAATGAGGAGGAACTCCATTTGATGATGCAAAGGTCCTACCTGTTACCCTACAGCCATCCTAGATTTATTATTAGTCTATGTCTTCAGGACGATAATTTCTATTAGTTTTAGTCACATTTTTGTCATCACTATATGTGATAGTTTTAGAAGGTTTTAGTTGACTGAAACGCAGAAAGGTTTTGGTCTAGTTTTAGTCAGTTTAATATTGCACTTAAAAAATCAGTTAACCTTTAAAATTTCGAATTACAACCATAGTCTTTACCAGACTGACAGCTCTTGCCTAAATACTACAATAGTTGGAGTTACAATGCTGCAGTGCGGTTCCTCATGCTGATTCGCAGAAAACTTTGATTTACGGTATAAAAAAAAAGCATGAATTAAAGCTCTACTTTATACAGAAGTGTCTCACAAAATTTGTGAAAAAAGCAGGTCTAGTTCAAGACATCATATTGGTTAATATAGCACACAAGTTAACAAAATTATAATAAAGGAATTGTTTAAGGCAAACAAGCTTTCCATCCAAAAGCAAACACTTCCTGATCAGTCAATCATCATTACTCCAAAAATGAATATGGGTCTTTGTCAAAAACACAGTATGCAATGAAATGTTTGCTTTGAATATGATTTAGGGATTCCTTTTTTGTACAAATTAAAGAAGATTATCACTTTTGTGATCTGGAAGAAATAAAATATTAATAGTTAGCCAAAAGGATTTTATTGCGCTTGGCAGAGGATGATCAGCCAAATATATTGTAGCGAGGGCAGGAAGAGCCATACGGCTGTGAGCAAACCATAAATGTGCAGCGTAAAGTGCAGACTCTTAGCTAAGCTGCACAGAGACGCATTTCTGCACAGGTACAGCTGAAGTAGCAGTTTGTCAGAGTTGAGCACGCAGTACCGGACCATTCCAGTCTACTTTTAACCCCTTCACTGCTGCCATCGTCCATCTGTGGTCATGCAGAATCTGCACCGCTGCACGGCAGGTGGGGGGCGTGGCTGAAAAGGACGCAGCAGCACCACCGATACTGCTTAGCTTGACAGAGCCTGACAGAACCATCACAACCATGAGTAGTTATGCTTTTGTCATCAAAGATCCATGTTTAGCTCATCACTTTTCGTTTGTCATTGTCATTCTATCACATTCTATCACTGATAAGAACAATGTTTTTATCCTTCATTTTCACCTGCTGACAGGTGGGTGGGCCTAAATTGAATACATTGATCCACTACCAATTAACCAGTAAACTAGTTTTACCCTGGAATTTTATTGTGATTACAGAACCTATGGCAGGTTGTTTTGACATTGATTAGCTTGACTGAATATGTGTTTCTGATATCTGAAATATATTTCTTCCTAGTCAAAATGAATATTTATGTCAGGGCTCAGACAACTGGATGCAGAATTCAGGCAGAACAGATTAGTTCAAAGGAATGCTGCTTTGTTAAAAAGCTCTGGATTTGCAAGGTGTCAGCTGGACCAGCTTGCTGGATTCTCTGCAGAAACAGACACTTCGGGTTAGTGATCACTAACC